CGAATCTGTAAAGAAATTTATTGCGAATAAATATCACCTCATGTCCTGGCTGAGAACATGAGGTGATATTTTTTTGCAATAAATTTCTTTACAGATTCGGTGAGAACGGTTCGTATAGATGCAAGTTAGCATTCATTTGACGTCGCGAGGGAGAGGGGATTCATTAGGAAAGCATTAGATGCAAGTGAGCATCAAGTAGGATTTAAATAGATGCTTTGAACATTGATTTATTAGATTGCATTCGTCAATTTAATTGTGATATTACATATTACTAGGTTCAGAGCTGTAGAGAAGCGTGCAATTTGCGGCCACGTAGTGTTATATGAACTAAAAATTGTAAAATTCACACTAAAAAAATTATATGGAAGCACCAAGATCCGTTTTGTACTGTGTTGGCGTTTTAAGTTCTCAATAATAAAATAGCATCTAATTTTGCTGTAAAATTCGTTTGTAGATAGAATTAAAAATGATTTTATAATATACGTGCATACGATATACATAAAACAATTTTAAATATTCATAATTAAATAAGTCCTTTTATTATTTTTTAGCATTTGGAATTTGTGGAAATTTTATTATTATTATAGCTCAAATTTGGTCTTGGCTTATTACAGCTGAGATTAATATATCGATGAACACGTCTCAATTAAATCCTTCCATCGTTCTAACAGAGTACTTTGTCGATCAAGAAAAATATATCTATTTAATTATGCTACACATATACGTAGAATTATGTGCTGGAACGACTATAATGTTAGGAATAGGTACAATGCTTATTGCATATCTTGAACATACCTGTGGAATATTTAGAATTGCTAGGTACGAATATGAATATAATTCTAATATTTGTTATATAAAATTCATTATCTTTATACAATGCATTATCTTGAAAAAAAAGTTTGTGTGGTGTGTTTTATTAAAAAAATGAATTACTGAATGAATTTCTGTAATTAAAACACATTTACAGTTATCGTATCGAGCATGCAGTTAATATCAATACTTTACAAAATATTACAATAAAAAACAAGATTTTGATGACCAAGAGCATAACTTGTGCCGTAGACATTCATCGTCAAGCAATGAAGTTCGTATCTACATCGACAAGTTTGTATAATACATTTAGTAATATATTTTGTTTTTGAAGATTGTCCAAGCATTTATTGTCCACATTCGAGATAATGATATTTTGTTTCACGGGATGTGTAGTAGCTTGCTTTAGCCTCAATCTGTTTCAAGTAAGTTTTCGATTTGGTGTAACAATTTATGAGAGTTTTATCGAAATTACATATTAATAATAATTTTATAAATACAAACCTAAAAACATGATAAATAAAAGCTAAAAACATATATGAATCTTAAATAACAGCTAATAAATAATATATAAATGACAAGTGCAACACTGTAAATACATATTAGTATAGATACTATAAGAAGAAAAATAACGCGAGAAATACTCGGATCTATCATTTCATTCTATCATTAAACATAATACGTACATAAACGTGACAAATACATATTTCTTTTATGCAAATTTACAAAATTTTTATTGTCAAACTTAATCGGAATTATTAAAAAATCTTTGTAATATGAAAACAACTCTTATATATGTATAAAATGTATATTATATGTAAAACTTATTGGTATACTTGTTATTTAGTCAACGATTTATACGATTATTATTTCTATACAAATTGTAGTCTTATCTGTAAAAATAAGAAAAACTTATGTATTATTCACAGCTTCAAAATTTAGGATGTTTAATACGCAAGAGACTGATAATTTATATGAAATTTCTTTCTTAGATCTTCCAAATAGCATCATCCAAAAATAATGTCTTCGAATTTGCATTGCCGTTTGTATATGCATCTATAAGCATCGTATACATGTTTACAGCCAACTATATTGGACAGCGTGTAATTGACCACAATAATGACGTATTCATTGCTGCGTAAGAGAAACATTCTTATGTGAAAGTATGCGAACGTTTTCATCTTTCACAGATTGCAACAATAGAGTTGTCAAAATTGATTTGACCTGCTGCATTTTAAATCTATATATACATGCCGAAAATAACTAGTAAAAAATTACTATCTTAAGTTAGTGATTTGCAACCTGTATTCAAATATTCAATTCCATAGGTACAATGTCCAATGGTATAAAACTCCTTTACATATACAAAAAATGATATTATTCCTTTTGCAAAGAGGAGAGAAGGAATTTGCTTTAAATATCGGTGGAGTATTTGATGCATCCATAGAGGGTTTTGCCACGGTAATATTTTGTAAAATATTTTAAATAAGACCAGCTTAATATACATGGATACAATACAAGTTTTTAATTGCAGTTAGTGAAGGCCTCCGTATCTTATTTTACTGTCATATATTCTACGCGGTAACAAAACAAATACTGATTTATTATTATCATTGTGCAAATGTAGTTTAAAGAAACGACGGTATTCAAGCTTCGAAAATAATTTAATTTTTAAACATAAGATTTTTTGCATTTTTTGCAGAACTATTATATTAATGTAGTAAATATTAGTTTTAATTAATTTAATTTGTGTCAAAATTTATATAAATATTTAAGTTGAAAGTTTTCATTAATAAATAACACATTGAAAAATCATCAAATATACGGGAGAGAGTGCTACCAGTGTAGAGTAAATGATTTAACTGTAGACAACAAGATAGCTAACACATTAATATTTAACACGTATTAAAAATGTTAATTATGCTAATCGCAATTTTAAAAATGATTAGGTGATATATTAATCTAATATAATCAGCTGTAATTATTTTTAAGTTATAAACTTTAGGTATATCCAATACAAAAAAAACTAAGAGATATCCTTCTCGAAAAAGAAGTGTATTCTATGAGTGTACAGACTAGAATGACGTTCCGGTGATGAGAGGGAAGAAATGCGCTTGCGTGGCAAGTAGCTTACCTTCGTGAGAAAAAAACCACTTGTCAGAATTACCTTTAACTTTAGATAGAACATAAATATTCCCAGTTTGCCGAGAAATTGGTTGAATTAAGTTCGGATCTCATAGTAAACTATTACAGAATCAATTATTATAAATTGAGGAATATTTTTCTGTTAAAATTTATACAAGAGGAAATAAGATGTGGAATATTTAGCCAATCAATGAAAAGAAGAGAATAAACGCACTTTCGTCAGTCTTCGCAGTAATACTTAGGCGCTCGTAGAGAAATGATGCGCCTAGAAACTCAGTATTACATTCTCAACAGAATCCTGTTACTTGCCATCGGTTTATGGCCTTATCGACAATCCAAATTTACTCAATTTCAAACTGTTTTTTTTCTTGCTATTGTGTCCACAAGTTTTATATTTCAAGTAAAGAAACAATGTAATAACATTATTGTAAGATAAGTTATCGCGTGACGGTCTTTTACTGTTAAATTTTGTATTTCAATCTATATGCAATCTGATATTTTTACTACTAGACATCACAGACGTGTGCTTCGTGCGCGTTTTTCATTCTTTACTTTCTACTTAATTGTTTAAATGTATTACATTATATTATAATATTTACATTGCATTATAATATGTTATTAACTCCTTGTTATGCATAACTGTCAAAATGACAACATGTCATGATGACAGCTGCTCGCGAAGTAAGTGGAATCTGAGAACCATTCGCCAAAAAGATCCGTCAAACTTCGATGCAAGTATCGATTTAATATTTTTTTTTTTAGAAAGGAAACCAAAAGACTAGTACAGAACACGCATTATACGCACGTAATTTGGTATTTAACACTGTATTTAGTTTTAATACAAAAAGACAAAATAAATTAAGACAAAATAAACCTGCTTGATATTTGTCGAGTTGATAGTTCTTGACTTGATCTTTGTAATGAGAATTATTCTCACTATACCAAATAATTAAAGCAAGAAAATCTATCATTATTATGGATGACCAACAATAAATCTTTTAAGATGAATGCAAATTTGTTTCACAATCATGCATTATTATCGTATTATTATGCTTACATTGCGCATCAGTGTAGACCGGAGTATTTCACATTAAAATTTTAAAACAACGATAGGCAAAGCTATATTATCGTATTATGGAATTGATACGCAACAATTATAGATACGCAAATACGTAACAAGTCTGTATTCGTCTATACGTGTGTCTTTTTAGAACTGATGAATACATTATATCTTTATTTTTAATCATATTTATATGTAAAGTTGTGCACAACTATTTATTTACAGTTGGCACCATTAATAATATTAAAATGTACTTTGGACCTTATTGCCGAGGTGCTATCTTCCATACTTTTCTTTACATTGTTCGTAATAAAGTATCTGGGATTCCGTCTTAACATTGAAGCTGTAAGTTGACTTACAGATTATCCGTTAAAGAAGAGTGATGTGTTTGTCAAATAAATCTATAGTAAAAAGTGCTTTTCGATGTACAGAAAGATGTTATAGTAAATTGTTACAATAACAGGTAAAGAGTTTACTGATGGATCTTCAATATGTACTTAGCAAGATAAAGGATAGAAAAGAAATTGCTATTGTTTATGAAGATAGATGTATTGCCAAACGTTTCACAATTGTATTTACAGGTAAGATAATATTTATTAACTCTAAATTTAATTATATTTTCAATTTAATATATAAACTGTTGAGTGAAAAAATAAACTGATTTTATTATACTTACAACTATATATGTATACGTATAAATTTATTGTGAGTCTGTTGAAGCACTTGTGATGTACCCGTGGCATCTACGATAAATGGCAAATGTGTTTAATAATCGAATAAAATAGAAAAATAGTCATAATTTTGTAATAACATTTGCCCTTAAAAAGATTTAAAAATATTTTATATTACGTATATTATGTGAAGTATATTATACAAAACGATTTTAGTTATTACAAATTTGAATAACAAATTCTTTCTTTTAGTAATTATAATTTGCGGAATATTTCTTGTTATTATATCTGAAATTTGGATAAATAAAACTGATGTATCAAGGACTATGTTTCATTTACATTATATACTCATTATAAAGAAATACTTCGTTAATCAAGAAAAGTATTTCTATTTGATTCTGTTGCATATGTATATAGTATATTGTGTAGGAGTGACTATACTATTAGCAACAGGTACAATTCTCATTACATATCTTCAACATATCTGCGGACTGTTTAGAATTGCAAGGTAGGGACAGAGACGTAGAAATAAGCATATTCTACTTCTAACAGTTTAATAATCGAGACTGTTACAAAATTTGTTATTTTCATATAACATACTATAATAAAAAAAAATATTATAGTAGTTTGTTTTTAGCTAAAAAATTGTATCATTTGACGAATTGCTATAAAATTACAAATATTTACAGTTATCGTATGGGGCATTCAGTTAACATTCTACAAAATATTACGCTAAAAAATAAGGTTTTCATGACCGAGAACATAATTTCTGCCATTGACATGCATCGTCAAGCTATGAAGTTCGTATCTACGCCAATGTTATTCAATAATATACGTTAATAATATTTTTATTGTTTTTGAAGGTTGTGTAAGCAGTTAGAGTCCACATTCGAGATAATGATATTTTGTTTCACGATATGTGTAGTAGCTTGCTTTAGTCTCAATCTGTATCAAGTAAGTTTCCAGTTTCGTATAATACCTAATGTATGACGGTGTTGAATCAAAACTACATATACATATAATGATTTTATAATATAATAAGAATGGACAAATTAATGCTATCAGTTATCAATCTTCAACAAAAGTCAATGAATGATATGCAAATGGCAAATGTAATATTGTAGATATTATAGAAACAATTTGAAAAATATAGTAATAAGAAAACGCACTTTATTGTTATAGGACATAGGTGAGAATTAATTAAGTGCGTATTTTTACGCGTCTTTCCCTTATTTATATGCACAAAAGCAGAACATATTAATATTTGTGTTTAGTAAATGCTTTATAGCAATTACTTATTACTATATAAATTACTTGTTATCTTAGCCGTAAGAATTAGCAAAATTTGTGCATTATTCATAGGCTGATATTTAGAACGTATGTACATACCCAGAAGATTTCCATGAAATTTGTTTCTTAGCTTTTTCAGATAGCATCTAAAAATAATTTCAACAAACTTTTTCTACCATTCTGGTATATGATTGTAAGCATTGCATACATGTTTATAGCCAATTATCTTGGACAGAATATAACCGACTACAATAAATATGTATACCTTACTGCGTAAGAGAAATATTCTTATAAGAGATAATGTACAAACATCCTCTTTTCAGTGGATGCATTAATGGAAAAACAGAAAATGATCTGTTGCAAAACAAATCAGTATATGTGATAAAATTATTTGATTCAAAAATTTCTGTCACAAATTAGCAGTCTGTTGTCTATGTTCATTCCGTAGGTACAACATTAAGTGGTATAAAACTCCTTTAAACATACAAAAAATGATACTATTCTTGTTACAAAAAAACACTAAAGAATTTACCTTAAATGTCGGTGGAATATTTGTAGCATCCATGGAGTTTTTCGCTACGGTAATATAATGCAGAATATTTTAATATAATACCATCTTATATACATTAGAAACAATAAAAAAGTATGTTTATATTTGCAGCTAGTAAAGGCCTCGGTATCTTATTTTACTGTCATATATTCTACGAAGTGACGAAAAAAATATAAACTTATTATTATCATTATAGTGGAGAGATAGTGAAGAGATTAATGAAGTAACGATGACATTCACACAAGCTTAGAAAATAAATTTATTTTGAATATAAAATGTAGAGATATATTTCCCCGTTTTAGAAGAAGATTAAAATTATTCTAATTAAAATAGTGGATTTTTACAATGCACCGAAATTAATCATTGTACGAGCTATAGTTCAAATGTAAACAGTGCATGTTTATATAATTATTTTATAACATTCTACAGTAAAATTTTTTCCAAGCGCAATTTGTTATTAAATTAATATTATTTAAATATTACTTTTAATTAATTCATTTCGTCAACAATTATATAAATATTTAAGTTGAAAGTTTTCATTGATAAATAACATATAATTAAAAAATTAAGAAATAAAGAAAAAGAATATTACCAATAGAATAAATGGTTTAATTATAAACGTTGACACATCAGTACTTAACACTTGCTAAAAATGTTAATTACATCGATTGTAATTTAAGAAAATAATAGTATCAGATGTTAAGCTAACGCAATTATTTTTTAAATTATTAACTTTACTAAACAGATTCGTCACTGAATAGATTAAACTTAAAGCCGTCTCTCTCGAAGACGAAGTGTATCCTGTGAGTGCGTGGACTAGAATGAAGTATCGACGCAAAGAGAGTAAAAATGCGCCTGCGCGGCTTTTCCGTAGTTCAATTTCATGAGAAAGAACATCTGTTAAATTACCTTTAATGATAGATTGATTACATAAATATTCATAATTTGTTGAGAAATTGCTTGAATTGAGTACATCGAGATCTTACAGCAAACTTCTACACAATCAATAATTATAAATTAGGAAATTTGCATTGAAATTTATCAGAAGAAATAAGATACAAAATATTTAATGAATCAGTGAAAAAAGGAAGCATAAACACATGATGTCTTCAGTCTTCGTAGTAACACTTAGTCGCTCGTAGAAAAATGATACGCCTAGAAACTCAATATTATATTCTCAATAGAATCCTGTTGCTCGCTATCGGTTTATGGCCCTATCAGCAATCAAAATTTACTGACTTACAGTTTGTGTTCTTCCTTGTTATTCTATCTACAGGTATTATATTTCAGGTAAAGCAATAATATAATAATATTATTGTAAGATAAATTACCGCATAACTTTCGCTGTTAAATTATTTACTTTAATACACATGCAATTTGATTCTTTTATCAATCCAAAGAAGACTACAACAAAGCGCGCGCTATGTACACGCAATTTGTTTGTTTAGCATTAT